GCTTCCATATCCTCTTTGATTTTTTTTTCTTCAGTTACATTTCCGTCATCCTCTTTCTCCTTGGTTTTTCTGGGCATCTAGCACTACGCTCTTCTAATTCTCGTAATTCTATAGTGAGCTCATTCAACTCGTACGTCTTCTCCGCAATTAAGAAAATTAATTCAGCTTTCCTTGATTCCTATTTGACAAAAAAAGCTAGTATTAGTACGTATACTATAGTTGCAAACATAGATACTAACAAAAGGGACATAAAATAATGAACTATTAGAGCAACGATATGTACAAATACTATTGGCGATGCCGTATGAATAAGAGGAGTATTCTCTTGGCCATTATCCGTAACCAACTTCGGGACTCTATATAATTTGTTCATAGTAGTCCTCCTCCACTTTCCAGTACTCTTCACACAAAAGAGCGGCGGTAACCTTTCAATATCTGAAGTGTACTCTAATTCCCCTACTTTTTCATAAAAACAAACCTACAAAAAAGAAACTACACATTAGCATGTGCATAAACAATAATCATTATCAAAATGAAAAGATATACAAAATAATGTTCATGTAACTCACCAGTAAAACGGAGGAAAAACCACCCATGTACCCGGCATTTGAGCGCTGACCTAATTCCCGCATACCATGTACCCGGCATTTGAGCGCTGACCTAATTCCCGCATACTAAGAGACTTCTTTGATTTACTCATCTCCTTGCAAAGAAAAGTGAACACCGCATGCCACCAATTATATTTATGCAAAGTTGATAACTGCTCCACATATCTAAACGCCCACAAGGGACATGTCTTACATGTCCGCGGGCATAATATGAAGCCGATAATGAAAGCCACAATAAGTTTCACACATATTATAGGGTCTTCATTAATCATATCTACAATCATCTCGGCCATTCTATCACGCTTCCCCGAAATCACCGCCTTCTTTTCCTCATCGGCTTTCTTCTTGCCTTTAGAACTACTACTCTTCTTCTCCTTGAGTGTCTTATAATTATTTACAAAATAGGTGTAGATTGTATTAGCCGCTGCCCCACTCATTTTTATCGGAATTCCCTCCTTTGGCAATCCGGTAATTCGGTGAATATAATCTATACCGAACACATAATTTTTATTCCCAATCATGAATGAGCATTTATCGGGATTAAAATTTTGAATCAAGCAATCAATTGCTATTTGCTCATTGCTCAAGGATGTGGGTATATTGAGAAAGCTGTGAAAAGGTGTCGTCTGTAGGGCTTTTATGTGTCTTTCATCTAATTTTATTCGCTTATCAATTAAATCTCGAAAATAACACAAATTGGCCGGAATTCTCAAGTGTGTTATCTTAGCCCTACAAGAAAATTATAATTCAGAAAGAGTTAAAAATTAAATATATTTAGGCAAATTAAGACGCATATTAATAAGTTTATTAACACAAACATTATACATCATGGCTTACAACAAAATTATAATTCAGAAAGAGTTAAAAATTAAATATATTTGGGCAAATTAAGACGCATATTAACAAGTTTATTAACACAAACATTATACATCATGGCTTACAACACCGCCGCATATGACAGGGGCACTCTGATAAAATATCATAATTTCATCATTGGACTGACAGACAAAGTTTCATACGAGGTTTCTATATCTAACCAAACAACTATATAATGCATAACAAATTTGGGGAAGGGGAGAAACACATGCAAGGGGATATATCTCATCAAGCAATGACTTGTTGACACAGACATCAGTAGGCGTCGACAGCAATTTCAACTTTCGACGCATATTAACACAAACATTTGAACTTCTTCAAAAAAATTACTTACGAAGTTGGAGGATTATTGCATTTAGAAGAGGAAGGCTTTGATTTTGAAGAATTCGAAGACGTCGACGCTTTCAATTTGTTCGAAGCCATGAGGGCTGACGTCGAGGGCTTGGTCGAGCCTGAGGGCTGAGCTCGAATGCCGTCGGAGGCGTGGCTAATGACGAAGGCTGAGCTCGATGGTGAGGAGGAGTAGACGACGATGACCCGGCGGCGACGCTCAGCGGCGGCGATCTCGGGCACTGGAGAGGAGGAGGGGAGGTGATGGCTAGGGCAAGGGGATGGCGGCGACGCTGAACGGGGACGTCGAGGGCTTGGCCGAGCTTGGGCGGCGGCGCTTTTGGGCGGTGGTGAGGAGGAGAGGGTCAGTGATGGCGACCGAATGCACGATCTTGAGCCGGCGGCGATGCTGATCGGGGGCGGCGAGCTCCGGCGGCGATTTCGGGCGCTGGAGAGGAGGAGGCGGGAGGTGATCTGAGCGGGAGAGATGAGAGAAGGGTAGGGATTTTGGGGGGACATTCATAACACCGATAGCCTAAGCAATTTTGTTCATATCCTAGGAAAACACAAGGAACTGTGTGATATGCAAACTTATGGCGATTGTATGGGTGAGTGAGTGGGTAAGAGACACAACCAATGACACAGAGGAAGTCTTAGTTTGGAGTTTGTTTGGACAAAGTTTTAAAAGGAGATTCACCTTGAAGAATAGTTGTTGGCTTAAGGTTAATATGATATACAACAGTTTCAAATGCAAAATTTCAAAAGTGAAAGGGAACAGAGGAATGAGCAAGAAGCGTGAGCCCCGTGTCCACAATATGTCGAATTTTTCTCTCAATGGTGCTATGTTTTTCATGTGTGTGGACATGTAATGCGATGTGTGATATCTTGAGCTAAAAATTGAGAACTAAGAGATCGATATTCTCCACCCTAATCAGATTGAAAAGACTTTATTTTGCATTGAAGAAAAATAGAGCTACATCAGATTTATGGCCAAGAGAATACAACCAAGTAAATTTTGAAAAGTCATTGACAAACAAAACAAAATAACGATGGCCGTTGAAGCTAAGGATTGGGGAAGGTCCCCAAACATCAGAAAAGATGAGATCAAGAGGAGCTGAGTTAGGGCCCGTTTGGTTGGGCAATTTTAAGATGGAAAGCCACTGTAGATCTGCCAAAAGTGTCTCAAAAGCTGACACTTTTGGCAGCTTTACAGCAAAATCGCCTCTTTAAGAGGCGATTTTGCTGTAAAGCTGCCAAAAGTGTCAGCTTTTAGGACACTTTTGGCAGATCTACAGTGGCTTTTCATGTTAAAATTGCCCAACCAAACGAGCCCTTAAAGAAAATAGGGGAAAGTAAAAAAGTGAAGAAAAGTGAGTTTTAGATTCTTGGGGAAACGAAACAAACATGCCCTTGCAGAGCCAGCGTTTCCCTGCGCGGATCCGAAAAAAGATCAGTTCAAGTTGAAGTCGAAGCAAGGCTCGGTGAAAAGACATTAAGGGCCTGTTTGTTTCGGCCAAAAAATGCAGAAAATGAAGGAAAATGGCCTTTAGGAAAACTGACACAGGGTGAATTTGTTACTTTCCCTCACAATCGGATGTTTGCTTCGTTAAAAAGAAAAAAAAAGTGAAGAAAAGAGACGGCAAACTGACAGCTTTTTCGCCTTTCCATTTTCCGCTCAAAAACCCCTGATTACAGCGGAAAACTCCTCTTTTCTCTCTCCCGTACAAAAATCGCCGATTGCTCTTCCCCTTCCATTCTCGTTCTGGTTACCCCTCTCTCCTGCTCCCGCCCCTCTCTCCCGCTCCCGCCCTTCTCTCCCTCCCGCCCGAATCAACCAAGAATTTCCTCCTCCTCCTTCCCTCCCGCCTTCCAATCTAGGGCTCAGCCTATTCTCCCGCTGCGGCCTCCCGTCCACCCACTCCCTCTTCGGCGTCGACATCGCTGTCCTCGCCGACGACGCCCTGCTCCCCCTTGCCCTCCACCACCACACCTCCTACCCCTGAGTACAGGGCCGGTTCTGAGATTTTAGGGGCCTTATGCGAAAAGTAAACACATGGTCATTCTCTATATACAAAATATTAATAAATTTCTTCATATACTTTATATTGCTCAAACATTTTCTTTAGTGAACCAATGACTTGATCTACAATATACAAAAATAATTGATTCTAAAAGATTCTTCAGCTGATTGTGTTGTCTCCCCATTAACATTCTCATCAAATTGTCTTTTTCTATGGATTTGACGTTTTAATTGAAATACAGAATCAATTTCTATTTCAGTATCAATTTCTTTAGCAATTGTCATAGCTTGTGTGAGCCCAACCTCTCTATAATCCTCAAAAAACCTAATGAAGTAGAGAGAACTTGAAGAACTCACCTTGAAATGATCTTTCACCCATGTCAGCCATTTTCGCTTTATCAAATTCACTAAAAAAAACAAAGAAAAAAATGATGCCCATGTCAGGTTCTACATTAGAAGATTACAAAGATGGGATATCACATCAAATCTTTCTGAAATGTTTTTGTGAAAACTCAGCAAAATGCTCAATTTTACATGTACTTATAATTTATAAATGTGGCAGCATCAAGAAATTCTGCTGGAACCAGGGACAAAGTTCTGTCATTTCTTTGTAAACAGTGAACTTCCGTGATGCAAATGAATTCATTTGTTCCTGGTTTGTTCTTCTTGACGACCTTCCTCTCTATGATTCCTGCTTTCATCTAATCCTCATTAAGCTATGTATGACAACTATAGAACTATTGCAATAAATGTTTTTGTTTTGATTAAGCAAGCTTATTTTGGTCATGTGTCGTCTGCTCTCAATTTTTTGTAGAGCTTGCCATCATTGAACCCTCTATATTTATTTATAAGAATAAGATGAAAAGTATTTGTTTCTACTGCTACTTATGGAAACAACAATCTATTAATGAAAAAATTCCCACATTTTCCTTTTGAAGTTAACCCACAAAAAGCTTCAAAAGAGGCCCAAATTGGATTCTATTGAAAATTATTCCCAAATTCCTCGAGCAAATTAAGCATTAAGTGAAACTCTACAAGAATCGCAATGGAAACAACAATCTATTAATGAAAACTAAGAAAAAGATTACCTTGGATCGGATCAAGATTCAAGATCTTGAGAGGAGGGGGAAATGTGATTTTTATTTCTCGCTTTGGAATTCTTTGGTCGGAGAATGACGAGGGCGGAGGGGCGGGTATAAATAGCGAACCGCCTGAGGCCCTGAGCTGAGGGGAGCTTGGCGGGGAATTGGTCGGAGCCTCGGAGGGCGGTGAGGTAGGGTTGTGACTTGTGCGGTGCGGGCTCGGGCGGAGGTCGAGACAGCGACTCGAGGCGGTGCGGTCGCGGGCGTTGAGCGGAGGAGGCTTGGGGCTGAGCAAGAGGGGACAGGGGAGTTGGGACTTTGGAGGAGTGTTGGGGAAGAGGAGGAGGGAGGGATCTGGGAATTGAAGGAGTCTAGGAGATGGGTTTTCTTTTGATGAGGATTGAGGAGCGGGATTTGAGGGAATCAATGGGGGAAGCACGAGAGAGTGATTCGCGGGATTTGAGGAGTGACGACTTAAAGCCGTCCTTGATTGTGAGGATCTAAGCCAGTGCCTATGGTCTTTGGATGCTTGTGGGCAAAGAGATCGAAGAAAGAGTTTGGATTAAATTTGCACGATTTATATGAGTAGGTCTTTGGCTTTTCAACTTTTCCTCTTTATTTTAAGTACCCATTTCCACGTTATGTTTCCCACCATATGCAGCGGGCATATATCGAAAGCTCCACGAACAGTTCATCAATCAAGATCATATTCTTAAGTTGTACTGATAATTAACTTCGGTAGAAATAACGAAGAAGTTTAAAGATTCGCCAACGGGCAGTTCTTGAAATTTAATTAAATGGAGCGCAAGAAGTTTCTAACACTACATATTTGATCATACTCGTGGATAATCTCTATTCCATTGTATGATTATGACAAAAAGAAAAATCAAAAGTAACAAATTAATGAATGGAGAGATCTTATCGGATGTTGCCCCACTTTTAGTTATCCTACTCTGTGAGTGGGAACGAATCACCTCTATTTTTATAATATCAAACTTCAAAGCATATTAGAGATCGTTAATAGTAAAAAATAGCATACGGAATATCACATTGACATCATTTCGTGTTCCCATTTAACGCAATACTTTCTTTTCACATCCATCTTTTAATAGCATCTTATTGTTGACGTATAACGATCTAAAAATCTGCTGCGGCTTCATTTTATGGGGAGTTATACCACAGAAATGTTGTAGGTTATATATGCGTTATTCTGCTAACACACCGCCTCATTCTTCTTGCGGTCACTTTTTCCCTCTCGAAAAATTCAATAGGTGACCTGTTTAGAATGTCAAACCACAAAAACTAAGATTAATAAAATAACAAGTCAGTTATCAATAAAACCTAGAACCATTAACAAGGCAAATGTGGATGCCTGTAACTTTAGACAGAAGAGTGCTCAGATGCAAATGTGAACGCCCGTAACTTTAGACAGAAGACTTAACACTCATGCGTCGGTGTACTAAAACTTCAAGGTTATGGATCAGAATTGAAAATACTTTCCTGTGTTCTAACAACACTAAAGCCATCAACGGAAGCTGATAACATAACCTGCTCAAATATTATGTACATCACCAACCATATCTATTACAACTTGAAGAGAGAAGGTCGATATTACAACAGAAAGGCTAGCCTTTTATACACCTTAGTTTACACATAATATATCAGGACGAGAGGATCTACAGAAATTTAGGACATGAAGAAGGAGCTGACAGAACAGATCCTATTCGCATAGTAACTAAAGGATCAGCTGCAAATTATAACCGAGCAGATTACTCCCTCAACAGGTGATGTAAAGATAGCATTTTCTCAGGTTTATCTTTGGATATCATCATTGCTGAAAGAAAACCATAATAATAGTTTCAGTGATTCATAAAAATGGAGGAGAGAGAGACTAAATAAATGCACAGAATTTGAATGAGAGCAATAGTGAAACTGATAGGAACCTGCTGGGTTACATGTGTCTTCTCTGTGATTGAAACAGCAGACCTTTACGTATGATTCGGCTTTGTTATCGTGCACCTTAGATTAAAGGACTGCAGGATTGACATCACAAACAGAAAAATTTATGAGCAAAGGATATTATCACTAAAGTAAAAATATAAAATTCTCAAGCTCCTGGTGAATTCCCGGATCATTAGCCTTCACTACTCAGCAATAACTAGTGGCATGTTGTTCTATCAAGTACGGACAGACTCGGCTCCAATGATATCAGTGTTTAATGGGGAGGGATCATTTTTCTTTGTACTAAAAGCACCCAATAGGTATTTATTTGATTAATTATAAAGAAGCCACTAATCTCAACACCAGTATAAGTTCTCAGAGGCCATTCCATCTTTTCCATTGGCATGCCTAAAGGATGTGGAAACTAACATATAACTATTAACATTGTGCAAATCTGACAGGACATAAAGCCAAATTAAAAGATAAAAGAGAAGAAAAATAAGTGTCTTTTTAAAATAAAGATCTGTACATGCCTTGCTTCTGATTTGCTGCAGAAGCTTTTTCCTTCCGTTTTGTTCCGCAAAATCATAATTGTGATTAAGTCCTCTAGCCCCATTCAGCATTTGTCGATTCTGCAGAAATATGTTATCGTGAGAAAGAAATGTCATCAGTATCCATTATGATCATTATAATAACTTCCACAAGACAATGACAATCAGAGATGAAAATAACTACCTCAGCACTGCATGATGAACTAGGTTCATCTTGTTCTTTCTGATCACAAATACGAAATCTTTGAGCTTGTGGGTCTAAATGACTCGTGGCTTTCATAAAAGCAGAATCCATACTTTCCACTGAATGATTGCTATCAGACTGTTTCGCCACTCTCCACTGTAACGGAGGAAGAGGAGGTGGTGGAGGCAGCTCACTTTGGGGATAAGCTGCAGAATCTATAAAATCTGTGGGCAGTGGCTCACATATTTGCTGCTGCCTTTTGTCATATATAACAGAATTGACAGAAAGAAGATCTCTAACGGAGTCAGATATTCCGCCATTCTCAACCTCTAAATGTTCCAATTCAGGGGCGGTGTTGTAACTAGCTGTTTGTTCAAATTTCGCAGAGCCGGAATTGGATGTGGTGGACGATGAAATTCTACATGAATTATCAGATACGCTATGCTTTTGACTTTCACTTATTTCATGCTCTCCCCAGAGCTCAGAGTTTGACTCAGAGTGAAGACTGGGAAGATCATCAGAGGAATAAACAGAAGATCTACAAAATGTGTCATCATCAGACTCAGAACAGCTATCTTGTACAGTAGTAAAGGATGCAGGAATCAAGTGAAATGAAGGACACACTAGATCTCTGATGCCTTCATGAAGATCACCACTGGCAAATTCCAGTTTTAATTTGGATGTTTCTAAACTATTCATAGGGTGAAATGAGAGATTCATGTGCTCGAGTGGCGGGGAAGACGATCCAAAAGTTGGTGAGCTTGATGGTACTGGCTCTTCAATAATTTCTTCTGTTTCTGGTTCACATAATGCACTGAGGACTGCTTTTTTTGGAAGTTCTTGGTGATCGTTTTGAAGTAAAATCTCCTGCAATTTTCTGAAATCATCATTCACCAACTGAGATGGTTTGGAGAGACCAGCATGTGCAAACAGGATCTTCCTCTGGAGATTGGTTGAAAGAAATTTATTCGCAAGGCCGGAAAAACTGGTTGAAATGCCTGTTGAATTTTTGTCAGAACCACTAGAATGTAAACCAGTACTATGAAATGTAGTCAAATCTGATCCAGGAGCAGCGACATCTGCTTCTTGACTTTCACCATCTGATTTCGCTCTTTCATTTTCAGAGGACGCTTTGCTTGTGCTCTCATTGCACACAGCTACTGCTTCTGAATTTCCATTGACGCTAAAATCTGGAGGTTTCGATGGTGCTAGTCCTAAAATTCCACCATTGGTCCAGATACTTACTGTAGGGAGGTCAGAAGTGTTAGAAGGATGATCTTGAGATTTTGTGATTTTGTCTGCATTTACATTATTGACTGGAACATCTTGTTCATTGGGCATGCTCGTCTCTAGAGAGAACTCACCTTCAAGTGGCTCTGAGATACTTATTCCTGGAACACAAGGGACATGGCTCTTGAAATAATCATTCCCAACAGAGGAGTTGGATGCAGGAGAAAAACAATTAGTATTTGTTGATTGAATATGATCAAAACCATCTGAAAGGACAAAGCCATTTGAAGAACTACAAGGTGCAATAGGAGCTTGGGCATCAAAGCAGTCTGCATTTGTGGCACTTGTCTCATTTAGCCTACAGCTGTTAGATTCCAATACTCCATTAGTAGAGTTGGAAGACTTCAATTCCGATTTGTTTTGGCACTCAGAAACTGCCTTGATCTCAGGTTCAACAACATCAATTGCATCCTTGAAGTTGTCTGTCACAGTACAGACATTATCGGGCAGGTTGCCATCAGGACACGAAACTGGTGTGTTGATGTCCATCCCAGGAGGGACTTCATCATATGATACTGGTGCATTTGCAAGTTCAAACACAATGTCTTCTTGTTTAACAGTTCCAAAATTAGCAGTTTCATGGACAATATTTGATGTTTCAACTATTTGCGGTGGAGAATCTAAACCTTGAACACTATCAACAAGTTCAGCGTCATATACATTGGCACCTGTGGGCTTCACTATTTCAGTCTTTTCATCCCATGTAACAGAAGATGTGCTGGGAGCACTTTGCTGTTGTGATGACTCGGGCTGTGAATCATCATCTACGATGTCTTGCTTTGGGTCATCTAAAACAGCAATACTCTGGTTGCTTTTCAAGGCAGGATCAGAAAATTCATCATAATCTTGTTCAGGAGGCATTTGTGAAACTTGTTCAACACTGTTTGCTCTGTTCTCTGAATCAAACTGTAAAGATTCCTTTCCCAACTCAGATTTTGATCTCGTATCAAAGAATGACACATTTTCACCAGAAAAACTCAGTTGGCCAGTGCCAGGAGAGGCAAACTGTGTGCTGGTAAAAAAATATTAATTTCATGAATCTTTCTTCAGTGAGAGCCAATTGGAGAAGAAAAGAAAATTTTCTATTGACTCCTTATAAAGACAAAGTGATACCTGTTACTGTCTAGGGATGCAAACATCGGATGTTGGATTCCTTCATTTCTCAGCCGTGATCCCCTTTTCTGGAAAAAGTAAATACATCATACATTCTCAGTTCTAGGAGTATTTTGATCCCAAAGGGAATCTCAATCACTAAACAAAAAAAGGCACACATGTAAATTGTTTGTTTTTACTTATGTGCAGACAGCAATGGTCAAACTAGAAATTTTGATTTATCGAGTGACATTACACTGGTAGTTAACAAAACAGTTTACGATCTAACGGTCAAAGTTGTATACTTGTATATCACAACAGCTTAATCTGTTTCACATGCACACATCAAGTTTTGACAATATATTATCTGCATGTAGGAAGAGTAATAATGTACCTGTCTCTGCAAGAAGAGGAAGGAAGGCTGGGGTTTTCACGATTCTGTTCCCAAGCTATAAGGTTAAGTTATTATGATCGAGTCTACAAGGATTGACTTTCAAAGTCCGGTGTTGGATAAGCTTTCATGACTCCTCTTATTCCTATTCCTTACAGTATGTGCCCAAAGTAGACAATTCTTTAGTGTGCATTATGTGTTCCGTAGGACATAACTGGTAACCACTGATTTTAACAAATTTGTGGCTCAAACCCAAATGATGAAATCTGATCACAAACGCCATATCCACGTTGGATAAATTCTTAATTGCTGCATGAAAACTTTTTTCCAGTTTCTTAAGAGATTTCGAATAACTGAGAACAAGGGCAGGCTTTGCTTAAGAAGTCACTGGTCAGGTCAATTCCGTGGCCACGAAAAAGAGTAATCACATAACCACTGTTATAAAGAGACAACTTCTTAAGCCTTTTCAAAATTATATTGTCTCCATAACATACTGAAACTAAGTATTCAACTAATATCAATCCATGTTCTCATATATGCAATACCTCAAAGATACTAACCTTCCTTTTCCTTTTAATTTTCTCAGCTTTCACCGGTTCCGAGGCTACCAATGCCCTCCTAAAATAGGATGGATCTGAATATCTCTTCAAACAAGCTCCAGCACCAGAACTATCAAATCTGGAAACAAAGAACAGTGTGCCTTTTCATATAAGCAAGTAACAACTACATGTAACTGAGTACATCAAAAACTCAAGTCTTACTTGTCAAGAAGGTATAAACGGGGAGGATCACAGCATTCTTCATAAAAGTCAATCATATATTGTGGCAAATCACAGCATAGAAGCTGATTTTGACCAGTTCGGACTTTAGCATGCCAATCAGAACCTGAAAGCAAAAGTTTCCTATTACAATGTACCGAAACAACAGGATTCCCAAAAAGATAAAAAATATATTTTTTCAAATTGCATCTACAAGTTGGTGCATCAGAAGATAGAATGATAGAAGAGGCTTCACCATCAGGAATTTAAAACATATTTTTCTACCTCCATTTGTTATGGCTCTCCAAACAAGCGATATTTTGATAGAGGCCCTCAATGTGGTCCGAAGGCCCGTGTGAGTAACACTACTAAGGTTGCTTTGTACAGAATGTAAACTTGAGCTTTTGAGTAAAGCCAAAAATGGTTATCTGACAGAAACAAGCATCTGCCAAGAAATTGATAAGGGGCAAACCTGCTATGTAGGCAAAGTGTATGTAGCTCCTTTGCCCTTGAATAGCCTTTTCAATTGGAGAGAGTGCCGACTCTATGCGTTGTATTCGAGTCTGCATTCTCTTCCCCCTTGCAGCTGTAGATGTCACTTGCTCATGCAGATCATGAAAAATATCTGCAGCAAACCTGTTGGTATAGCTAATTGACTCAGTAAAGGTATGAGAGACTACTTTTAGTACGAAAAAAATAAACATACAAATACACACAAAGAGAGGAAAGAATTAGCATTATATTCGTAAGGAGATATGAAGTTGAAAATTCAAGGAGGCATGCATCACAGGTAAAAATGTCACTGATTCTAGATACCCCAAATGCCACCGAAGCTAGATACTCAATCATGCATACACATACATAGATAGATACACAGGAGTATGATCTTGCACCCAACTGTCCGGAGCAACAAAATATTGTAAAAATTAGATTTCCTCGGTAACATTTCTTTATGTCCAACTATGGCAACCCATGAACATAGATATCTTATATCAAGTCAAAAATAAGCCTTTTTGCCAAGTTAGCCTTAAAAGGCAATAAGATAGCCAAAACCTGCATATACTATAACAGATGCATCATATCCTTTGGGATTGGTTTAGTCTACAATATCAGGCATACATTCATAACTAGATCATAATCAAATTGAGTAATAAATTTCATATCCCTTTCTCTTGACCTGTTTGCTATATATTACATGGATGAAACTTACCAAGAAGTCATGAATAACAAGAAGTACGACATATTACAAAAACACTGTACAAGTTCCGTTATGTAGTCACTTTATCCATATATTAGGTGAACAAGCCAATCCTTTTATCATAAAGGTTCAGGAAATTTTGAAGTTAAGGTCCTCTAGCACTCTTGCAATTTTCCTTAGCCTCAAAAACAAAAAAATTGATTACAAAATTTTTAATTTCGAGAAGTACTTTGCTCCCCTCTCCAACACTCCCCATGCACACACAACCCATGAAAGCGCCTCCTTTAAATTCCCATACAGAGAAGCCAGCATCTCTCTCAGAAAAGTTTTTTAAAAAATTTTTATGGGGTAAGTGTAAGTACCTTCACCCAACATGGTCTCTTATCTTAAGATGAAAACACAGGACAGGTTTGGATTCATGCATTCTATTCAGGAGAAATACAACAGATATAGCAAGCCATTCCAAATCAAGCAGACTTCTTTGCGTGTTCTGTTTAGTTTTGGAATAGATTGAGCTCAGCTTCAGCTTGGTCCTATCTGAACAATAAATGTTCTAGCTTGCCTTGAGATAATTGAAACCTTGAGGTTGAATTGATCTCAACTTGTTTATATTTGACAAGGGTCTACATTATTGCTATTTCTTGTTTTCTTTTGGATTGATTCTGCACATTTATGAAGATAAATAAGCTTAAAAACCATTTTGGTTCCTAAATCTTAGAATCGCATTAGCTATAAAGTCAATGTGGGACAACTCACTAGTCTCACACCTCTTTTACAATAACTCATAAATTCACCCAAACTTTGGACTATTTTCATATTTGACTCGCAATGAGACAAGTGTTTCAACAAACTGGACCTTTGCTTGTATCTGATAGAGTTTCTTGGCTTATATCTGGCTGAGTTCAAGAAATCTTTTTCATATCTCTGCAGCAACATGTGGGCCAGTTAGTCCTTTGTCTTCCTTTCAGCCAAGCCTAGCAGGACAAACAAATTCAGTCTTAAAGTTATATTTCACATGTGTCATGGCGGATCATTCCGTCTTTTTCTGTTGGAGATAAACCAGCTAAGACATTGCTCAAGAAATCAAAATTGAAGACCCTGCAAGCTATGTGTAAGAACTAGTTCTTAGGAATCCGCCTAAAATTCAATCTGCAAGATGTGCACTAACACAAATTAGCAAATAAGATTAAAATCCAATTTGACCCCAAAAAATAAGGGAAAAGAAAACCTCTAATGGAGTCTCAGGTCTACCTTATTTAACCATGTTTCCAACCACTGATTAACAGTGTTGGACTAATAGCACTAATATCATACCTTATTTTCATTCTAATAAAGCTCATTAAATCACCCTAAACAGGATACTTCCGTATTCATCTGTATATGAGGGACTTATTTCCGCAGTCCATTAAGCTTTGATTCCATATTTTTACTTAGCCATTTAAGCAAAAGGCCGAGCACTTATAATGGTTAGTTGTGTATGGCTTAAAGTCAGTCTAAATTGCACTTAAATGCCTTATAGTTTCACGAACCCTTCATTTAAGTCACCTCTATTTTAAAACGGAGCAAATAAATGCCCCATAGCATTTAAATGTTGCACATAAATGCCCTAAAGTTTCAAATGTTGTACTTTGGTGCCCTCTTGTTTACTTAATGTTACATGTTGTGATGTTGATGCCCTGTTGTTTACCCAATATTGCATATAAATACCATCTAAATAACCTCACTGTAATACCCTAAAGTTTCTAAAAGTTACACTTCAGTGTCCAATGTTCTAAAAGGAGGTCTAGGTAGACGCCTAGGAGGCCGCCTACGCCACCTAATTTTGGCCGGAGCGGCCAACCTAGGCGGCCGCTTAGGGCTAGGCGGCCCGCTTAAAACAAAAAAACTACTTTTTAAATCCCTTACCCGGCCCAAACCAGAACCCAAACCCATAACCCAAAGCTGAACCCATTACCCAAACCTAACCCTATTCTCTCTGTCTCTTTCTCCCACTGCATTGTAGATAACATCTTTTTTTCACTGTTCAATTTAGTAAATAGTTTATATTGTTTAATTTAGTTCAATTAATTAGTTTAATTTAGTTAATTAGTTAATCTTGTTCAATTTTATCCACTGTTTCTAATTTTAGTTAAATTTAGTTTAATATTGTTCAATTTTAGTTCAAATTTATTCACTGTTCAACTTCAATTTAATTAATTTTAGTTAACCTATGTAATTAATAATTGAGATTAAAAACTTTTTCAATTTTACATATACTCTTATAGAAGAGATGACTAAATAGTAAATAGATGTTAATACTTAATAGATCAAGTTATGTGATTTATTTGAATCCTTTGTTTATGTATTTATGCATGGTTGATTATGGATCTAAGCTTGTTAGTTACGTTTTTTTGCAGTTTTATATGAACTTAAATATTTTTGTGAATTGTTATTATTAAATAAATTTAAAAATAAGCAAACGCCTAGGCGCTAGGCCCCATCTCGAACACTTAATCCACCTAGCACCTTCTGTAACATTATTAGTACCCTGTGTTGCATGATGTTATTGGCTATATAGAACAACGAAAACAAAATCTGGGTTTTTCAAAACTTTGGGGTATTCATCTAGAACATTTAAATACTTTGGAGCATTTATTTACTCGGTTTTTAAATAGGGGTCACCTAAGTGCAATGTTGATGAAATTATAGGGCATTTAAGTGCAATTTAGCCTTTAAAGTTATTGTCAAATAAAGTTGAGCTGGTACAATGGAACAAACTAAAGATCCAACACTAGTCAGAAAACTAAAATTAACTAATAAAGGGAAATTAAGAATCAAAGGCTACAAACATCATATTACATCCAAAAAGAAAATCTGAACTGAGTGTGAAAGGGACCAAATTCGGAACAGAAATGTTCAATTTTGTGATTTTAACTGGCTTATAGTACAAAATGCTCTCTCCAAAAACTCAGTTACTTAGTCAAACATGAGCCAACATCAATTATACATCTTTTAATACTAATTTGCTATTTCCACCTTAAACTTACAAAATTGCCTAATTTCCCTGAATTTTCCACTAGAATTCCAATTTCCTGCTGCCTTTCAACTACATTGAACACATATAAAACCACAAACAACAAAATTAAACAGAAACAGACCGAACAACACAAAATTCAAAAAGCTAGGGCATCAAGAAACTCACTCAGCAAGATCGCCGAGCTGCCGCAAGATCCCGACGAGCCCAGCGACAGCGACTCCGTCGAGAATCGCCCTCGGATCCTCCTCCTTCGCCTCCGCCAGATAAAGCTCCGGATCTCCCAGCGCGTACTCGTTCCTCACTTCGAACCGAACCAGAGGCATTTTCGCTCACCGCGGAGAACCAGCACGGGGAAGAGTGAGTAGCAACGGAGAAGCGCTCTTCATGCAAGGGCGGTGACGGGACCGCGGCGAGAGAAAGAGACAGAAACGAGCAACGAATTGATGTTTGAAAAACCAAATCTTGTCCTCGAAAGCATCCCTGGATGTTGATGCTGGTGGTGATTTGAGCGGGTTGAAACTTTTGGGCTCCGTCTGCCCTTCGCAGTTTTGGAAATGACGTTTGGATCCAATCGTTTGCACATATATTCCCAAAATCTAACATATTTGCAAATTCATGGCACGAATCTAGATGTTTGCTAATTTACTTCAAATCTTCAACAGTGATTCTCTCATCCCTCAAATATCAAAATTAATGATATCCTCTTGAGTAAGTTAATTTATATTATTGCTCTATTAATTTTTTTGAGAAAATACTCTATAAATATATATATACAGAGAGAGGAGAGAGCTCCCACGTCTCATATTCTCTCTATGTGATTACAAAATAATTAATTTAAGGTTCAAATGCACTTAAATATCTTATTGTTTATCCAAAAAAGCACTTGTATACCCTACGTAACAAAATAGAGTAAATATATACTCTAAGTTATTTTAAAAAAGGCAAATATATACCTTAAGTTGTAAAAAAAGGTGCTTGTAACTCCTATTATTAATCAACCATGAGAATACTCTCTCACATGTTAGTCATATAATTATTTTAAATGACATCTACTCATACAGATTGTACTAATTATAACTTTACCTACACATTTCAACTATGAGAGTTACTTTTAAAGAAGCAAAATTTTGTCCTCTTGGCAAAATTTAACACGTAATGTTTAATAAATTCACATGGCGAACAACTGATGTTATATATGTGCTCCGCTTTGTAGCTTAGGTTATATAAGTACTTTTTGAAAGGAAAAAAAACAATAGGAATTTAAGTACAATTTAGCCTTAGTTTAAATAATATATTGGTGATTCTGAAATTTGAGAGGTAGAATTAACCTACACGGAATATTTGGGGTAAATCATGAAATATCTAGATCTTAGGGTTAAATTTGCAAAATGGTGGAGTTCGCGCGGTGTATAAAAAACTTGTATAATAAATAAAGGAGCAGGTGTTGTTGAGATTAGTTAGAGTGCATGCTTATTATTTGCCTAAAAATATGCTTATTATTTGCACCGAGCCCGCCCGTACTTACTTTCGGAGTTTAGTAGAATTGTTTAATACACAGATGCACCAAACCGCAACGGTGCTGCTTAAAACAATAATTTTGAGGTCCCCAATGAAAAGATTTGTCCCGTGATGTCATATTAGCAGCTCATACCAGCACTAATCATGAAAGGGATAACAAAATCATGTGCATGGCAGCAAAAGACATTGCAGCCAAAAACAAAGTTTTTACAAAT